TTGCTTTTCACTTTTATTCTGCTTCCTTTGGGTAGGAAAGAGCCTCTGTGGGAGATGTCTAGGATGTAAGACCCAAGGGAGGGAAGATTCTATAAACTCCTGTCTCAACTACTGCTTTCTCCACTTAGATGTTTTTATTCTGAGAGGATTCTGCATGGAAAATGTCTTAGTTTAATTTTTTTGGTTAACTCCTAGTCAGGAGGACTCACCACTGATCTCTGGGGAGATGGTGCTGGCAGCTCTCACCTTCATTTAATGAAGCTCTTCCACCTGAAAGCAAATTATAAAAATTATTTGGTAAACAGGTAAACAATCACCACATATATGTGATTTGATGCTGCATGTGGGACATGTACCTCCAGAACTCCAAATGGGAATTGGAAGTCTCAGTGGATAAAGTCTTATTAAAATGCAGCCTGTAAAGCTTCTTCAAGGGAAAACCTGTGTGTCCTTTCCTAACATAAACTGTAATTATACAAACATTTGGAACTGAGAATAACATGTTCCACATGAAGATCTACTAACTGGTGTAATTATTCATATGAAAAAATCCATATGTTGTCTTCCATATTTGCATGGTTTGAAGAAGTGGCATGTACATGCTAATATAGGTAAACCAGTCAGATGACCTGGCAGAAGCATATCTTTTCCAGCACAGGTATCTTCAAGAATCTGCAGCATTAGATACCAGAGTGTTATGAATCAGTGTTTCCAACACTGAAGTATAATTCCTAGACTTGTACTTTCAGGAGGCAGTAATAACAAAAAAAGTTGGCAGTGATAACGACTAGGTAATGGTTTAGGATGGTATATAGTGTGTTTCAGGATACCCACAGACTTTTCTGTGCCAGTTAATATTTTTTTTGGGAGTGGATTTGAGGCTGTTTTAAATTGTAAATTTTCACAGGGTGGGTTAGAAAGCATTAACTTAATAAGCAAACAAAAATTTACTTTAATTAGAATGAAAAGAAGGATTCATGTAATTTTGACATTATACTTGTGCTACTGGGTAGCTTTGCCCATTTGCACATGCAGATTTGTGAATTATGGAAATGACGATGCCATTTGTGCCAATTTTTAGAAAGGATTTGCTAAATACATTTAGTGAATTGCAGCTCCAGAAGTACTATTAATGACATTCTCAAAAGAGGTAGTCAGATTGAATATGTTCAGTGATCTGCAATTGTACTTTTAACTGAGCAAAATCTTCTAAGAATGTTATTGAAATGGCTTCAAAGAGAAGAAATATTATGAAACAAAAATAGATTCATTAAGTCTTCAGCATTTGATTGCATAGTCTCAAATGGTGCAAACAAGAGTAGGTGCACCAAAGTAAGCATAACTGTGTAGTTTTGTATATCCCAGAAGTTAACTAATCTTTTCGGTACAAAGATTATACTCAAAAGAAGGGAGTAAGGATTTAAATTAGGATCGTGCAAAGCAGTGGGCAGTGCTTTGGACACAAGGTAAATTTACATATGAATTTGGAGCAGCTTTGAAATTAAAATAGAAAACAGTGTGATGGAAAAACTACACAGTATTTTCTATTAAAAGTCAAAAATGTTTGAAAGTGACTATTTCTGGGTAAATCTTGTTCTCACATGTAGTTGCTGGCAAAGCAATGGGAACCATATGGAGACCTTTATGCCAGCTGCTTGCTTGTGTCTAAGTGAACTATTTTATTTTGTCAGAAAATATAATTAACTGTAAAGAATCAGAAACAATTAGTTTAGGCAATTCAGACGTGTATCAGTATGTACTTCTGACCATTAAAAAATATAGTTGTCCTCTCCGTAATATGCCTTTGCAACTGTAATAGTACAAAGGTGCTTATTCTCTTCATATGTGTATTTCTGATTTATATTTTGTTAAATTACTGCTCTGATACTAAAGATATTTTCCTTAAGTTTATATTGCCAATATCTTGAAGAAAAAAAAAGGCATTTAGCATTGAATCACATATCAACTTTGTACGATGTTTAGAAGCTCCAAAGATTTTGTTCATATGTTAGTGACTTAAACAAATGTAGAGGAATTAAGTTTGAAAGAACTGCTCTTTCATGCCACATTAAACTACTCAGAAGTGAAAAGCTTTTTGCATGGATTACTTTGTATAGATTGCCTCATTTTAAAGTAATTAACCATGCAGTAGATGGTCTCTACAAACACTTGAACAGGATTTAGGAGAAGGTATGCAATTAAGAACATATAATTTAGCAAATTTCACTATAAATTTATAGTGAAATATATTTAGAAATAGGTTGTTCATGATAGAGGCTTTCTGAGAGTGTTGGAAGATATGAGTGAAAGTTAAAAACCTGGACATTGAATAATAACTCCAGAGGTAAAATTCCAATGGCTTTTTTTGGTCAAAAATCATTAGTGGTTATTGTCACTACTCACTGTCAGTATGGATATCAGGATCTTAAAACCAACTGGAACTGCCAATAGAGCACTACCAGTCTCACTTATTTTTGAAAATCCTTGTTTGGGATCTTCCATTGCAGGAATTACCTGAAAGTTCATTTCTGCCTGAGAAATGAAGGTACCTCAGCTGTTGAACTAATTAAAAAAAAAAAAATTGCAGGTGCTTCTTGCACATTTTGCCTGTGATTCTGTTAGCAGCAGATTTTTGTATCACAAATATTCTGACCAGTCTCTTTTCCCTATTCTGTGACCAGTCCTTTTTTTCCCAGGCATGCATCAAAAGCAAAAATACCAAAATGACCACTTTTCATATTCTACAAATAGGAGTTAGATCTTGTGTGGCTTGGTATGCTTCATCTCTCAGTGATGTAGAGGGAAGGAAATAAGAACTCTGGTGGGACAATGCAAATGTTGGGATTAAAAACAATCCCAACACCATTAGAGTAAAGTAGAAGTAACTTTTGAGGGTGGGGAAAAGTGCTATTAGTAATAATTTTTTGTAAAAAAAATTGAGCTATTATTAAACTCAGGAAAAATCTGACCCTCCAAAGATCTCTAAAACAGTCGTTTATAGCTTTGAATGTCTTTCCAAATGGTGCCTTCTACATCAGTTACCAATAAGCATTTTTGTCTAACAGAATATATCAAAGATGCTGCCTGGAGTTTTTGAAAATGGATAAAACCAGTTCTGAGCAAGAGGGATGACCTGCATGCCTCAAAGCAGTGTTTAACTGACTACATTGCTTGACATCCAAAGAACAAAGGTTTGCAAAAGAGAGACTGATAAGGTACTAATACCTGCATGTAGGCTGCATCTTCTGAGAGTGTGCCAGAATTTGTCTGGGAGAGGTCCGAAGACAGACAATATAGATTGCTGTATTTTTCATCAAGTGGTTTGTACCATCTGTATACATTTTACATGTGCCTTTTGAGAGGCAGGGAGTGTAACTTAGATCCCTTTAGGCTTTGTTCTCTGCCTCTGCACCTACCATTTGGCATAAGATGTAGCCAGTAGAAGAAAACTGAGGTGGTTGGGACTTTTTTCTTGTCTTAGTTGCAACAGCTGCAGAACAGATGTTGACTGACATGACTTCTGCCAAAAATCTCTTCCAAGTCTCCCACCCATTTTCCACCAAAGAGAACCTGGTCAGGTGATATGAACAGAAAACTGAAGGTCAGAAGGTTTTGGGAGCTCCCAATCTTGTTTCTGTAGAGACTGTTAAAAAGAAACAATCAAAAAGACTCAATTTACCACTTAGGACGTTAAAACAACCAAAATTTCAAAAAGTAACTATTCTAACTAGTATGATATCAATAGGAGATAAAAGGCTATCTGTACATGAACCACAACAACCCTGCAGCAGAGGAAGTCAGATGACGGCAAGAGTTCATAACTGGTGTTCACCTAAATGGGATCTATCAAAGTCTCCTTTTAGATATATTTTCAATATCTCAAATGCATTCAACAAAATACCATTGTCTTGCTGGCCAGATCTTTGCTGAAACAGATTTCCTAGGATTACAGTTGTGTTGCGTGCACCTCACTACTGAGAGGGAGTCAGCTTTCTATGTACCTGTCTCAGGTTTCTGCGTACCTCTCCAACTTTTGCTTTCAGCAATATTTGAATATATCATGGGGTTTTTTTCAGAGTGTATTGACCATTAGAAATGCATTCAGTGACATTCACAACAAATAAATGAAAACCTGAAACTTTTCCACTGTGTCAGCCTGCAGATGAAATCATACTGCTGACAAAACTGTGGCTGCCAGGTGCTTACAATCCAGCATTGACTTAAAGGTAGTATCCATGTCTAAATAACCAGTTGTCCAAATAACCAGTTGTCCAAGCATGCTTATATTCACACAGGATCTGTGTGGGCTAGCCTTGCTAGCGGTGCTGAATCCTCTGTGCTGGCAAAGATGAAGGTCAGATGGTACTCATGCAGTTATATTTCTCTTTACTTATATCACTATCCCAGTAACCTAGAATTTTGATGGTAACCTGCTAGTTTAGACACATTAGTAAGTTGGTAACTCAGAACCATGAGTATTAACCTGAATGATGACTTGGCTTATTATGGTTTTACTGGTGTAGTAATTAGGTTTTCCTCATGGAACCATCTGCTTGCAGAAAAATTCCTTGTACTATAACTCTTGGTCATTTATAGAGATCAGTATCCTCCTGAGAGATGTTTAGATGGGGACTCCTCAAGTTTTTCTCTTTGACAATTTACAGTAGCAGTAGCCAACAAGGTTTTATGTGTCTGACCCCAGTTGCATGTAGCATTTCCAGGTTTATGTCTTAATTTCTAGTACTTAATTTTTAATATGGTATCAGTTTCATCTGTAGGTGCATTACTTTTATTTAAGGTCACACCCTTTAGTTTGGAAACCAGTGAGCCATGGATCTTTGTTGTTGAAAGTAGTGACATGGGAAGACTTCTTGGCTCATGGCCTCACATGAGCATAGGTTTGCCATAACAGTGAAGAAGACTTTAGCAATGACTTGCATGAAATGTATTTCTGTGTTATACTGCAGATAAGCAGTATGCACACCCACCTGCTTTCAAACATGTATGAAACACGTCTCTGGTGGTATAAGAATGGTAAGTCTGAATGCTAAGAAAAATGAGTTAGGTATCTTCAGTGATGCATTGGAATGGTGATATAGGGGTTTAAGTACTTAAGTTCACATCATCTACATAGTATTTGCACCTTATGATGAGGAAATTTCAAGGCAGAAAGGTAACATACATGTTTCTGCAACTGAAAAATGCAGAAAGAAGTTATAGTGACTCTAGTTTGCCAAACAGTATGAAGGAAGAAATGTGAACTTCTAGGTTTAAGGTGGGTTTGATCTGACAAGATTTCTATGTTGAGTTTGGAAAATGAACCTTGGCACAACACTGTAGTCAATGGCATCTAATGGGGTCCTATCGTAGAAAACTGCAGTTGTGTCTGAACAGCTCCCCAACCCACTCAACAACAGTGGTGGATACTCTCAGTCATACACACAAGCAGTACCACCACATCTGAACACAGTTCTGTGTGTCATGTCAGCAAAAGTTAAGAGGTTTGGTGATTTGAATCCATTAGCTTTAAAACATTTTAAAGTAATGACTATAGCAATGAGTTCAACAGTTCTCCTAAAAGAAAAAAAAGTTCCCTTCCAAGCAGCAGAGTAACTGACAAAAAGTGAAAACAGTGATAGTTGACTGTAGTTTTGAAACCAGACCCACTGGCTGGTAGGACAGTCTCAGGCATGTAAATGATTCATCTGACACAGAGTCCCAAGAAGTGATTTCTTTCGGGCCTGTTCATTTGGATGTTGAGGCAGGTTTCTGTTTAAATTAGCAGCTGAAGTGTGAATTTATCTGTGACATTTTTAAGATGGTTTATGAGGCCAGAATTTGACTAATGATACTCCTACTGATCTCCTGCTAATTTTGGATTTATAGGTGCTGTATCATACCTAAACTTATAAATGTCTGGTCCTTGTATTTATTCCCTCCCCCCGCCCCCATCCCTTTCCACTGGTCTTTCTCTGTTTTCTTTCTTTTTTTTTTTTTTCCCCAGTTTGACCACTTTTCATTTACTTAAACAGACTTCACTGACAGCAACAGAATCACTATCACTGAGTTCAGTAGCTTGACTTAGGACCAAATGTACCTGTTTCTGAGGAGGGTGGTGATGAAATTTTCAGCAAATATTCTTTGACCAAAGTATAAGCTTGTGACTGAAGTGTTCCTTAGGCAATGAACTGTAGTGTTAGTAAATTTTCTGCACTGATACCAGCTCTGGCATAACCTCCCTACTTGGACTATGGCATGAGTAGGAGGAGTTTCCATTACCACATGGGATATGCTCACCAATTTCTTTTTGACGTGTTGCATTTCCTATGCTTTGTTTGTTACCTTTCCCTGAAGGTGTAACTGGCTAAACCTTAAAGTGTGTTCTTTAAAATACAGCTTTGGATTAAAGTATTAGTGAAATGATAGGAGAGAGATTCTTGAAGTATTATTCATTAAGACACCAATCAAATGATGCACATCCTGTACTTGTTGGATGCACCAAGAGTTGCCAGAAGTGGGAAGGAGTTGAAACTTTGCAGAAATTGTACAGAGAACTGTTAGGAAATGAAACACTGCGAGGTTTAAACTAAAGTTTGACGTGCATGAATGGAAGCAGCAGCTCATGCCTGTCAGAGCTACTGCTGCTATCCTGATTTATGGTGAAGAATCCATAGGTATGAAAGCAAGGGTGTATTTCTGAGAGAAGAAAGTTTGAAGAATGTAATTTAAGCACATTGTTATCTTTGAGCTTGTTTCCTATTTAGCTGTACTTACCTTTGAAAATGAAATTCTTTTTTCATGTGTTTTGTGGGTTGTTTTTTTTTTTTTTTCAGATTCCCAAGAAGGAAACTACAAGTCAGAGGTCAACAGTAAGCCCAGGAAGGAAAGGACAGCTTTCACCAAGGAGCAAATCAGAGAGCTAGAAGCAGAATTTGCTCATCATAACTATTTGACCAGGCTGAGGCGATATGAGATAGCAGTAAACCTTGACCTCACTGAAAGACAGGTACTGATGAAAAATAATGGACTTTAAATGCTTGCCCGATATTTACCACTGGTTAGTAGATTCTCACAGTAGAGTTCTTGTTTATGTTACTAATAGATGTGTTGATCTATCAGATTGAATGTTTACAGCAAAATGATAAACATTTCTTATCTCTCTGCTATGCAAATAATTAATATTTTCATATGTACCAGCTACAGATCACTTTCATCTGGTAGGTAGAGATGGACGATAAAAGCATGCGTAATATGTCTGTTAAACTGATGCACATCTTTTCTAATCTTTCCACACTGATGTGACCAAGGAAATGATAGGTCTCAAATACTGCATGCACAAGCAGTTGATTTGCCTGCATGCAACAAATATAAGCATCTTGTTTTATTCTATTAAATATATGCACTTGCCATTTGTCCAGAGTTTCTGAACATCCTGTTTCCAGATGGCAGCAAGAATAGGAACACCAGCAAAACTGGAATACAGGCAATTTTAACTTTATCTTACCCTGTGCTGTGAAAGCAGAGGAGACAATGGAATTTCTTATCACTGTTACTGGTTTCCTGCTCACCAAACCCTTGTCCAGGAAACACTTCTGCACGTGCTCAAGTTTCATCATGCATGTTGTCACATTGATTTCTAATGGAAATATTCATGTTAAGCATGTAATGAAGTGTTTCAGGATCTCATCCCAACACATTAAATATGGAGTAAAGTCATGTTTCAAATAATAATTACATCAACATACACATTTATAAATATGTTTTAGTAAAGACATTTAGAATACTGGACTCAAATACACCAAATCTGAGGGAATACTACCTACAGTTTTATCATTAAAACTGAAAGCTTTTTGCCCACTCATAGACAGTCATCCTTTCTTCAGGAATCAATATTAGATTGAGGTATTGTGCTAGATACAATCAGTAAGATGATGATATATTCAAGGGAAGAAATCAAAGTAGCACTGTGAACTCTAGATATGAGAAGTTTTGCAATTTTCTTGAGTTTCATTAACACTATGCAAATGGAAATCTCTCTTAAAATCTAGCCTTTTCTATACACAGGAACACACATTTACTCACACAAGCATATGAAACAGGTTTTTTTCTTTGAATGCCTCTAGAAAATGTCTGTCCCTTCCAGTTTGTCAAGCTTTCTCTTGTTTGACTTGAACACTTTATCACGTTCCACTGGGCCATTTTCAGTGATTTAAATATGTCTGTTATATTTGTAAAGCACACCATTTTGTATCAAACAATTAAAAAACTTTTGGCTCTTTCATTTCCACTAACTAAGGTAAGCTGATACAATTAGATTAACTTCCACACCTGATTTTGACATCTAAGCGGAGGAGAAATGAATTCTTCTTTCAGTGACAAAGGTATAGTCAATGTGGAGCTGAGCAATGATAAGTTAAAAAAAAATATCTACTGGCTATTTTGACAAGAATCAGTAGGCTGAATTAAGAAAACATATCCCCATGTTTACTAATGGTGAATTTAGGCTGGAATTTAACTGTTCTCCCTGATAAATTCTTTATTCTTTTCTTCAAAGATCAGGTTGAGTAGTACAGCTAAATGAAGAGACAGTTCACTATCCTAAAGGAAATAGTTAAATTAAGAGTATTTAGCATACTGAAAGAAGGGACAGAAAAATATTGTATATTGTCTCTGGAAGAGAAAAGGCAGCCTGTGCTACAGAAGTGCAGAGAATTCATTTATGTCACAGGAGTACTCTGTTTTCTAGCTATCACATAATGTCGGTTCTAAGCATTCTGCTGATAATTGTGATCATTTGTATAGAATTACAATTAGTCTATCTGATTATGTAATCTAATTCTTTTCTGCTTCCCCAGACTATCACAGGGTGAGAACTGAGCTGACAGAGATTCCTTCCTTCCTCCCTTCCTCCCTCCCATCCTTCCTTCCTTCCTTCCTTCCTTCTGCCTGCCCGCCCGCCACTCTTGCTTAGAAAAGGGAAGCATTAAGATTTTTAGTTTGATAGAATCCAGTTATGTATCTTGCCAGAATAAGATGTTATGAGACAAAAGAAAAAAAAGTTAGCATAAAAACTGTATTGTTAATCAAAAAAAAAAAAAGAAAATTGAAAGGAAATTCTGGATGTATTTTTCAGCTTCTGAATCATACTTAGTAAAGTAATGATATCACTTCCAATGTTGTCAATTAGAAATGTCTCTTTTTAAAATCAAATATATTGCTTTGATGGGAATATGGTTTAAATAGGCATGGAACTGGGTGTGTTTTTCCATGGTATACGGCAGTTTTTAGAAGCTGAATGAAGTAAACCAAAAGGCTTGACTCTTCTAACATACTTGTTTTATATCAGTATTCCTTCAATGACTTAAAAAAATACTCCAGGGTGAACTTAGTGTGACACTAATATTTCCTTTATTTGCATTCACAAGACTCATATTCAGGACTTGTCTTTCCATCATTAACAGAATGAGTGATTATTGTTGAGTGCGATAACAGCACTTGCTTACTTACTACCATTATTGCTTTCTTATACTGGCTGTCTCAACAGAGGAGATCATATTTCACACCTATCTTAAACAGATGAAACAAAACCAGTCCTTTCCTTAAAATTATTATAACTAAACTAAAATACATTGATAGAATTCAAAAAAGAAACCACTCTTCAGTGAGGTAGCATTTTTAGAAAATTGTTATATCTGGAACAGTTTTAATTTGCTATTTTTCCCCCAAAAGCTGCATTGCTACTGCAGTAGTTCCGTTTTCAATAAGTACACACTTAAATAATAAACTTGATTTCATTACAGGCTGTAGAACTATTTGTGCTGGAGTGTCTCTTTGATTTCTCACGACACATTGAATTTGCACACGGGCAATTAAAACTTGCTTCAGATAATACGTTGACAAAAACCAACAGTGGGTATTGGGTAAACTAAGATCTCCTCAGAAAATGGGTTTGAGAGATGACCTAAGCCCTCATAAAATTAATTTTTTAGCATAATTGTTTTTTGCTATGTTTTTAATAATTGACAAATATAGTATTCAGAGGACAGAAGAACAAAAAATAATCTGGGGGAAGTATTGTTGGGTCATCCTAAAGTTACAGCTTTATTTCCCAAGATATGAGATAAATCACAGAGCCTATTATCTTAAGAAAGCTCTATCTTCCTCTTGACTATAGTGATAATTTCAACCATACGCCACAGCTTAAAAGAGGCACTGACCAACTAACACTTCATAATTACCTTTCTGGCATTTAAACAAGCTGTAGAAAAAACATATGTCTGACCATATTTAAAAAGCTATGTAAGGGTATTAAAGTTTTCTACAGTCATCAAAGTAAGGCTCCATTTGACTTTTGAAACAACTTACAAGATCAGTTCAAACATAAATGACTCATGGAAAGCTATTTCACAAAAATAATAATGAAAAAAACCCCTCACAACATATGGATCAGGAGAAGGAAGTAATTCTATCACTCCCTAAAAAGGAAACCTGAGTTACAAGACAGGAGGATGAAATTAAATAAGTGCTTCAATTGCCTAGATATTAAGAGTGCACTTTGAGAACATTATAAGCACATCTGGTGATAGGATGGCTCTATTATGGTATTGTAAGAATTCCAGCAGCATAGGTACATATAATTCCTGCTCCATCTCCTATAGAGGGTATTCACAATCCCTGCTCAGCCAGCAGTTAATAATTTTCAGCTGCCAGGCCTCTATTATATTTTGAGAAGCCAGTTAGTCTAAAAACTGTCTTAGCTCCCTAGACATTTGTAACTTTGACAAGCACATTCTTGGCTTCTTTGTACATCCAGATAAACTTGGAGAAGGTTCCATGCAAACTTTTTAATATCTCACTGTGGGATGAGGAGAGGAAGCAGCTGCAGTGGGGTATCAGAGGCGTGGCAAAATGGACATTTTTATGGAGTTGGTCCTGCCAAATATAGAAAGAGTAGGAGATCTTTCCACCTCACAAGATCTTTTTGCATGGAGCTAATCAAAAGAGTAATGTTGCAGTTCTGGAGGCTAGCTAAGGTTACCGGAATAAACAATCCAAATATGTAATGCTTCTGTTTGCCAACATAAATGAAACATCCCACCTAGGCAGATTAAATTCTGCTGATGGCAATGAGAAGGTTTATTTCTTCTTAACTTTAATTACCAATACCAGCCCAGAAACCAACGATCATTTATAAAAAGGCCTGAAGCAATTGAATTTGCATAGACAAAGGACAAAACTTTGTCAAAATGAAGAGTGATTTTGCATCTGTGTTTGGCTTCCATGTATGTGGTACCAACATGGGATGAGTGACAAAGGAAGAAGCTTTGTAATGCATTTTTATACCAGAAAGAGAAGCAAGCAGCGTTATTTAAATGCATTGGGCAATGTTGGTATAATACCATAACCCACACTATAGCACTGCGTAGTTATGACTATACAAACAATAAATGAAGTTTTGCATTAGAAGAGTTTCCTTCAAACCTAGTTGCCTCAATCCTTCATCACAAGTGAATTCAGTGAAATCCTTTTCAGCATTGCAGAGCTCAAGGGAGTCTAATTACTGCATTTTTAGATGTGACTGGTAAGTTAAGGGTAGCTCCCCGTAGTCACTCAGGTGAGAAACCAGGGACTTCAATGTTCCTCAATAAGGTATTTGTTCTGGACCACCTCTGGAAGAGTAAATGTCTCTCCATGCATCACACAGCATGACTAGTTTCCTACTTTAGGAAGCTATATTTCTAAGGTTAGGTGGTAAAATTATTCCCCTGTATACTTTCAAACAAAATCAAACAATGTATTGATAGGACAAGCTTGACCATATCTGTCTGATTTATTGTGCTGTCATGTCTTCTCTGAGAGGCAGCTGCTCATTCCAAGCTTCCATGTGTTAAGTACTCTCTATACACAGTATAATAATGAGTCTGTGTGGCTTGAAATCCTTTGGATTGTTTGTTATATTTAAAGTAGCACTCTTAATAACATAAAACTCACTAATACTTTTATATT